TTGAAGTGAGTTTCTTGTGGACAGCAAATAGTTAGGTCATGCTTCTAAATTTACTCTGTCAATCTCTGACTTTTAATTAAATGACTTTTAGACCATTTACATATAATGCAGTTATCAGTATGTCAGAGCTTACGCTTAAGTCTATCACTTTATTTTTTGTTTTCTATTCTCTGTTATTTGGTTTCCCTGGTTTTGTTTGTTATTTTGTTTGTTTGCCTTTCTCCAGGTTACTTAAACACATTTCTCATTCCATTTTGATTTATCTGTAGTGTTGTTGAGTATAATTCTTGATACTGCTTTTTCAGTGATAGCTCTACTTATTGCATTGTACATACATAACAACATAATCTACTGATGTGGTCATTTTATCAGTTTGAGCGAAATGTAGAAATCTTACTTCTTTTTATGTCCCTTTACCTTTCACCACTTATCCTATAAAAGTTTTAGTTTGTTTACTGTGTTTTGAACAACATCAGATAGGGTTATAATTTTTACTTCAGTAATTAAACATAATTTGGAAAACTCAAGAATGAAAGCCTATTGCATTTTTCTATATTTTTGCACCATTTTCTGTCTCCCTGCTATTCTAAGATTCCTTCTTTCATCATTTGTTTATTTGTTTTGTTTGGCTAAAGAGAACTTCCTGTAATCATCGTTTTAGGGTAGATCTGCTGGTAACAAATTCTCTTAATTTTCTTTCATTTGAGATTGTCATAGTTTTCATTACTGAAGGCTATCTTTTCTGCACGTAGGAATCTGGGTGGACAGTTGTTTTCTTATAGCACTTGAAAACTTTGCCATTCCTTCTAACTCTTCCCCACTTGTAGTCATTTCCTCTCTAATGAACACCAGGTATTTATTATAAATTTACTCTGCTAATGCACTCTGATGTAGATCAGTTTTCCGCTTCTTCTGGTGCACAGCTTTCATCTTGGGATCTTCTTTCATAATCATCCTGGGAAATTCCTTCCATGTATCCTATTGGATTTCCATTTCTTATCTTTCTTTTTTTTTTTTTTTTTTNTATCCTTCTCTTACTGCTTACTGTGAATAAATTTTTGGGAACTTTGCATATCTGAAGATATCTTTCTTCTACCCTCACACTTTATTGATGATTTGGCTGGATACGAAATTTTAGGTTATCTGAGAATTTTGAAGGCTTTGCTCTATATCTGTCATTTTTACATGACCACGTTTGGATTTTAGGATTTATTTTTTATTTTATTTGTTTGTATATTTTTACCTTCTCTAGCTTCCCTAATGCTCTGAAATTTAACAATGATGTGCCTTGTAGGTCTGTTTTCATCCATTAAGATACCCTTTTCATCAAGAAATTCATGTCCGTCAACCTTGTACAGTTTTCTTAAATTATCTATTTGATTTGATTTCTCTTTTACTCTCCTGTACTCTTTCTAAAATTCTCTTTATTTGGATGCTGGTCCCTCTAAGCCAGGCTTGTGATTTTTTTTCTTTTGTTCCTGTGTTCTGGGAGATAGGTTGAGGTTTCTCTTCCAACTTCTGTTGAGTATTTTGCTATCTTTACTATTTTTAATTTTTAGGAGTATTCTTGTTGAGGTTTTTTTGGTCTCACTTTGTTTTGTGGATGCAATTATTCTTTCAAAGATTTTTTAAAAGTTAGGTTTATCGGCCAGGCACAGTAGCTCACACCTGTAATCACAGCACTTTGGGAGTGATTGCAAAGTGAAATCCTGTGTCTACTTAAAAAATACAAAACCCTGTCTCTACTTAAAAAATACAAAAATTAGCCAGGCGTGGTGGCATGCACCAGTAATCCCGGCTATTTGGGAGGCTGAGGCAGGAGAATTGCTTGAACCCAGGAGACGGAGGTTGCAGTGAGCTGAGATCGCACTACTGGACTCCAGCCTCAGCAACAGAGCAAGACTCTGTCTCAAAAAGAAAAGATTTACTGAAGTAAATTTACTTACAATAAAAATCTACCCGTTTTCGTGTATGGCTCTGTTAGTTTTGATAATTAGGTAACCACCACCTTAGTTGACAAACAGAATTGTTCTTTGAAAACTGACCACCATTGATGTTAGTATTTTAGGGGGAAGTAAGCGTGGGTGTGTGTGTGTGTGTGTGTGTGTGTGTGTGTTTTTCCTATAGGGCTGGTCAGAGTTTCTAAGGAAATATCCGTTGCACTCTAAGCCTGGTTGCAAGCCTCTGTGAGGCAAGTGGTAGAAACAAGGCAAGTGGCAGTCTCAGCATTTAGTGTGTAAACTTTCACTTGATCTCCCTTTTCAGAATATGTTCCTAGGCTAGGTGTGGTGGCTCACACCTGTAATCCCAACACTTGGGCAGGCTGAGGTGCATAAATCACTTGAGGTCAGGAGTTCGAGACCAGCCTGGCCAATATGTTGAAACGCTGTCTCTAGTAAAAATACAAAAATTGGCCAGACATGGTGACAGGAGCCTGTAATCCCAGCTACTCAGGCTGAGGCGGGTGAATCGTTTGAACCCAGGAGGTGGAGGTTGCAGTGAGCCAAGATCGCACCACTGGACTTCAGCCTGGGCAATAGAGTGAGACTCCATTTCAAAAAAAAAAAAAAAAAGAATATGTTCCTCCCGAGGACTCGGTTTTACATTTTCTACAGAATAAAACCAGTTTTTTTTCCTGGAATGGGGAAGATAATCTGGTAAGCCAACTGTGTCTTAAATGGATATTCAATCTATCTAGTTGTTCTTAGGATTACTTTATTCTCTACTTCTTGATGCCCTTGGTATTGCCAGTTCCTTAACTTTTGGGGGATTCTGCATTTCACTTTCCTCATTGCAGATTTAGGATCTGGCTTTCTCGGATATGCCAAGTCAGTTACCACATTGATTGACTGATTGAGTTGGAGTCTTGCTGTGTCACTCAGGCTGGGATTACAGGTGCCTGCTACCACACCGTGTTAATTTTGTATTTTTAGTAGAGATGGGGTTTTACCATGTTGGCCAGGCTGGTCTCGAACTGCTGACCTCAGGCGATATGCCCGCCTCGGCCTCCCACATTGCTGGGATTATAGGTGTGAGCCTCTGCACTTAACCCAGTTACCACTTTTAGCTTTGCAGTTTCCAAAATGTTGTTGCCATCACCTGATCTTCTTTGTCCTCATGGGTTTTATGTCTTTACAAACCTTTTGTCGTCATTTTAATGGAGTTTTAGGGAAGGTTAGAGGTAATTGCATGTGTTCAATCCATTATCTTTTTAACTAAAAGTCCCTTTTGGGGGAAAAAAAAAAAAAAGCTTACATTGTAGCCTTGTGGACAAGATCCTTTATGATCTAACTTCTCTCTGGCCTCATTTCTCATTCTATGGCAAGTGGCCCCCAGCCTAAGCTCCAGCCACAGGTATCTACTTAAGAGATTGCCAAACAAACCATGTTGCTTCATGCCTTTCAGTTCTGCACATGCTGTTTTCTCAGGGTGCAGTTTCTCCTTTAAGACTCTTCTTGGTTAAACTTTGCTGATTTGTCTGGATGTCCTTCTGTCAAGGTACTTACTATATTATTGCAGTTATTTATTTGCTTTTCAAAAAATCTCACTCTATAGGTTTCTTAACCTGGGGTACATGTGGAAGTGTTGTGCATTGATTAGCTGTAAGAAATCTTAGAAAATGCTGAAATTATTTGTAAAATTTTATGTATATGTTCATATTTTTGGAGAATTCAGAATATGCATCAGAAATACTTGTGTAGCTTTTTAAAAATCTAATTGCTTTGGGTTCAACTGCAGAGAGACGTACTGAGTTATAGTCTCTTAAGTTTAGGCCTACAAAAATGCGTTTTTAAAAAGTCTCCTTAATGATTCTCTAGAACAGGATCTCTGAGCATCATCTACATTAATACCAGGGCCTGGCATTTAGTAGATGTTTAAAAAAAGAATAAGGGAGGAACTTATGTTCAGGACATGACCTAAAATTTCCAGTGTGAAACCAGAGTGCAAGTGAGAAAATCACAAATTTCCTCTGTTATATAAATTAAGTCATAGCATTTATTTCCATCACTACCTCCTCTTTAGACCCTCTTTAGATATAATTAATAAAATAGGAGAGCACAGATTGTTTTTTCCAAAGGTAGAAGAGAGCTTTGGAGAGCTGTCTGTAAAAATTAAATAAGAATTTAAGGATTAGCCATAGGACAAGATAGCTGTATGGAGTCCAATTTTGGTTCCTTTTGTTGCTTCGGGTTGTATTTGACCCAGTGATTTGATTGCACAGTTTTAGGTTTCTATACATTTGGATGTCATAGATAGCACAATTGTTTAGACCTGATTTCATAACCTGTGCATTTAATAAATGGCTAGTGACATGGAAAATGGAGAGACTGATGTGTTGCTTTGGCAAAAAAAAAAAAAAAAAAAATACAGTATTATTTTAACTGGTTCCAACTAAAGAATGAGGTTAGGCTGGGCACGGTGGCAAATGCCTGTAATCCCAGCTCTTAGGAAAGCAGAGGCAGGAAGATAACTTGAGCCTAGGAGTTTGAGACCTGCCTGGGCAGTATAGTGAGACCCAATTCTTCACAAAAGGAAAAAAAAGACAAAAAATAAAGTGTAAAAATGTGTAGATTAAAGTGATGTCCTCTGCCTTTTTTATATAGCATGGTGCTGTTACTGTATGTTTTTATGTATGTTAAAAGGATCAGGCTCAGGCTGGACACGGTGGCTTACACCTGTAATCCCAGACCTTTGGGAGGCTGAGGCAGGCGGATCACAAGGTCAGGAGTTTGAGATCAGCCTGGCCAACACAGTGAAACTCTGTATCTACTGAAAATTCAAAAATTAGCCAGGTATGGTAGCACGTGCCTATAGTCCCAGCTACATGGGAGACTGAGGTAGGAAAATCACTTGAACTCAGGAGGCGGAGGTTGCAGTGAGCTGAGACCATGCCATTGCACTCCAGCCTGGGTAACAGAGTGTGATTCTGTCTTAAAAAAAAAAAAAAAATGATTGGCTGTTTATGCTTTTTTAATTTTCTACTTTATTTTATTGTCTAGGTACTTAAGAGATTATGGCATCGGAAACCCACAATGTTAAAAAACGGAACTTTTGTAATAAGATTGAGGATCATTTCATTGATCTTCCTAGAAAAAAGATCTCTAATTTCACTAATAAGAACATGAAGGAGGTAAGTCCATGGTTTCCAGAAAACAGGTAAGACAATTTAAACTGTCAGGTCTCTAGATATCTCTAGTTGAATTGTGTAAACAATGGGAGGATAATAATTCTGC